AGCAGCAGGCCGTCCGGAAAGCCCTGGCCGCACCGGGAGCACTGGAACTGGTCCGAGCCCCGCGGCGGGGGGGACGGGCGGCGCTCGGGGGTCTCCGCCGGCTCCGGAGGCTGGGGCGACTCCTTGCTGCCCGGCTTGCAGGAGAAGGCGGTCTGCAGCACCCCTGTGCCCGTGGCCCGCGACCGGCTGTTGATGACCAGCACCATGTCCTCCGAGGAGAAGCCGGCGCGGGGGTCGATTTCCGAGGGCGGCTCCGCCTTCACCGCGGCCGCCGCCGGCGGGGGGGCCCTGCACCTCTTCTGGTGCTTGTTCAGCAGGTCCCTGCGCAGGTAGGCCTTGTGGCACCGGGAGCAGGAGAAGGGCCACTCCCCGGAGTGCGTGCGGACGTGCATGCTCAGGGCGCCCTGGTTGCAGAAGCGCATGGCGCAGTGAGGGCACACGCAGGGCTTCTGCCCGAGCCCGGGGGCGGCCCTGGGGGGGCTGCCCTGCCCCAGCGGCGGAGGCCCCGCGGTCTGCGGGCTTTGATCGTATCCCTCGTCCGCCGGCTCCTGCTTGATGTGCACACGCGGCGGCGGCGCCGGCGCCGGCCCGGTTCTGCCGGGCCTCTGCGAGCCCAGGGGGTAGCTGTCCTCCCTGTGCAAGGACAGGAAGTGGTGCTGGAGCTGGGAGAAGAGCAGGAAGCGCTCGCCGCAGGTGGCGCAGGAAAACCCCTTCGTCTGCTGGGGGGACCCCGGGGGGGCCCCGGCGGGGGGCCTCGCGCGGCGGTCAGGCGACTTGGGCGGCACCGCGCAAGCCCCCTGGTGCTCCAGGAGCCGGTCCCAGGAGGCGAAGACCTCCCCGCAGCGGTCGCAGAGCGCGCCCTGGCCCGGCGAGGGCAGCACCTTGCACCTGAACAGGTGGCGCTTGAGGTAGTCCCGCCGCATGAAGTGCTGGCCGCAGCCGGCGCAGCCGAAGGGCTTCTCCCCCGTGTGCAGGCGGACGTGCGACTCCCTCTGCGACTTCGTCTTGAACCGCAGGCCGCAGTAGGAGCACCGGAAGGGCCGCAGGTCCGAGTAGTGGCGCTGGATCCTGATCAGGAGCTTGGTGGTCTCCCGGCAGGGCTTCTCCTCGGCCTCCTCCTGGACGTCCTGGGGGGGGTCTGTCTGGGTGCCGGAGGAGGAAGAGGAGAAGCTGCCCTTGCACTTGGGCTGGTGCGACTTGAGCGCCCGCAGCATGGTGAAGGTGTGGGTGCAGCGCAGGCAGCGGAAGGGCTTGTTGGCGGTGTGCAGCATGGCCACGTGCCGGGCCAGGCTGCTGCGGACACCGAACACCTTGTCGCAGTGGGCGCACCTGTGGGCCCCTTCGTCCTCCTGCCGCTCCCTCTCCGGGCCCTCGTCCCCGGGGCCGGCGGCCGGGTCGCCCAGGCTGAGCTTGACCACCCGGACCTGCGGCTGGAGCCTGCGGCCCCTGCAGCGACTGCGGTGGACCTTGAGGTGGTCGTAGCGGGAGAAGCAGTTGCCGCAGCTCTCGCAGCGGTAGGGCTTGACGTCGGTGTGGGTCAGGATGTGCCGCCGGAGGTTCCTGGACCGGGAGAAGGCCTTGCCGCAGAACTTGCACCGGTACTTGCCCTCCCCTTCGCCTGCCTGCTCCGTCGGCTCGGGGGCGCCCCGGTCCCCCTCGCCGCCCGCCGCCTCCCCCTCGGGC